TCCTGGATGGGGAGAACAAGTGCCACGAGGCGGAGTGTATCCTGAACAACCTGCTCGGGGTCCCGGCCAGCGATCCCACGGGGCCAGAGCGGAGGAGGAAGGCCCGCGAGCTCCTGATCGAGGGCATCCGCTCCATGTTTGAGGACCTGCCGCGGAGCTGGACTGGCACCCCCTATGAGGAGCAGGGAGAGATCGCGGGCGAGTACGTCGACATCCTTGAGAAGCTGACCCGCAAGATGGTGAGAGCGGGAGAGCTGGGCGACACCCCTGCGAAGAAGCGCCAGAGAACCGTGTACGAGAAGGCAGAGGAGGACCCCCCGAGCGACGACGCGGCCCTCGTCGAGAGCTCGGAGAGCGAGGCAGTGGAGGAGCCGTGCGCGAGGGCGCGGACAGGACCAGCCCCGCCCATCCCAGAGGACTCAGACCCCCTGAGCCTCTGGCCGAGGCGCGCAGACACTGCCGGGCGGGAGAAGGAGAAACCTTTCCAGAGCTCGCCTGGCGGCGGCCGACCCAGGGCCCCCGCCCGACGCGCCGCCGCCGCCAGAGGCTCTCGAAGCCCCCCCGTACCCGACCAGTCCCCCGCAGAGCAGACCCGCCAAAGCGATCCCCCAGAAGGCAGCACCCATGAGGCGGAGTCGCTCAGCGGAGACAGTCGTGGAAGCAGCCAGGCGGGCCGCGGGCAGGTCGGTGACCTCCAGCGGAGGCCCACCCACTGGGGGGGCAGACGCCGGCAGCGCGGAAACACCTGAGGGGGCGCCCACGCCTAGGCCCAGGCCAAGATCGCTGGGCGCCCAATTGCGAGCCACCTCCAAAGGGCGCCCCCCGCAGCCCAAGCCTCGCCAGGATGAGCCTGCGGGGCCGCCCGTGCCCCAGCCCCACACAGTCCAGCCGTTGCTGAGGCCGAGAGGATGGCGCCCGCTCCTCCCCGGCCAGATTTGCCGGCCGCCGGGCATGCCGCCAATGAGGCCACCACCATGCCAGCCCCCCCGCGTGGAGGAGGCCGCTGCGGGGGCCCCCCGCTGGACACCGGCAGCCGCTGGCAGAGGGAAGGGGCAAGAGGAGGCGCGGGCCTATGTCAAGTGGTGCGCCGACCACCCAGACTTCCAGCCCGAGAGGGTCCCCGAGGTGGTGCGACGAGGTAACTCTCTCCTCCGCCTCGCCGGCAGCGTGGAGAGGGCCGCCGAGCTGCTGAAGCACGCGCGAGGGGAGATCCACGGCAACCCGCTGGGCGGCGTGCTCGAGGAGGACGTGCAGAAGTCCTTGGACCCACACCGCGCCGCCTACCTCCGAGCGATGGCCACCAGAGGAGTCCCCGTGCGGCGCACGGAGGAGCGGGTGCGCACGCAGGCCAAGTCGCCCTCTTCAGCGGTGGATCACGCCCTGGAGATGTTCGAGAAAGCCTGGAAGGACAGTCGCTACGGCGTGGTCCTCTGGGCCTCAGACGAGGTCGAAGATGTGCTCGCCGCCTCGGCCCTGGTCGAGTCGCCCAGCGGGAGGGTCCCCAAGATGCTGCCGGACCGGACCATCTCGAAGGAGGGCCGGCCGACCCGCGACATGCGCGCGGCCAACGCCTTCTCCCCGAAGGAACAGCATCCACCAGCCAAGCAGCCCCTCCACAGAGGGCTTGCTCGACTCAGCCTCTGGTGGGAAGCAAGGCACCCAGGCGTTCAACAGGTGGTCGCGAAGCGGGACGTGGCAGGTCCTTCAAGTGGCACCACCTGGAGCCGGCAGCAGTACCCGAGTTCGGGACGACGCTCCCAGGCAAAGAGGTCGGGGTGCCAGGGCGAGTGATCCTCATCCACGGCGTGCTGGTCTTCGGCTGGGCCGGTAGCCCAGGCGAGTACATGGCGTTCGCCTGGGCAGCCAAGAGCGAGCATGAGAGGAGGAAGCCGCCAGCGCCCAAGATCAACGACACCGTCAAGTATGCTTCCAAGTGGTTGATGGACGACGGTGTCGTCCTCGAACCACTGGTGGGCCTCAGGCCCTGGCTCTCGGCCGAGGAGCTCGACGGGGCCATGGAGCGGGTCTGGGGCCCGGACGCGGTCAACGAGGAGAAGCTGGACGTCGAGGGGGAGTTCGCCGCCGAGCAGCTGATCTGGGGCCTCCACATGAACTTCAACACGAAGGTAGTCTGGCTCCCAGAGCCCAAGTGCATCAAGGCCCAGTACCTGCTCGCCCTCCCAGAGCTCAGAGGATCACGGCGAGTACCGTTAAAGGTCGCCCAAGAGTTGCGAGGCTGTGCTCAGTTCTGGGCATCAGCGCAGCCTGCCCTCCGCCCTGAACTACCAGCCCTGGACCGGCTCTTGAGCAGCGGGACGAGCTGGGCAGAGCCAAAAGGTACCCCCGAGGAGGTTGAGCTCGCCTGGGAAGAGTGAGACGCCTCCGTGAACTTCCTGAGGATGCTCTTTGACGTCCCCGAGGCTTGGAGCACGACCTTCCAGGCGAGTTTCACGCAGGCGCTCTCCGTACGTGAGCGCCTCGCGTTGCCGGGAACAGCGCGCGCTACGAGGTGGGCCGGCGGCGACGCCACCACCTCATCAATCGGCGCCATCGACTGGGGACGTGCAACTGCAGAAGGAGCCCCACCCACGCCGGAGTACATGGCCGTGGACGCCAAGCCCCTGCTCGAGGCCCTGGGCCAGGCGGTCGGGGGGAAGAGCAGCGAGGAGGATTGGATCAACGCAGTGGTCGAGCTGTTGGCAGTGGTCGCGCTGGCCACGAAGCAGGGCCCGAAGTGGGAGGGTGAGCTGGTCTTCTACGTCACAGACAATCAGAACGTGAAAGCGTGGCTCACTAAGAGGAGCCCCAAGAACACCCTCGCACGCCACCTGATTCGCCTAGTGGAGAGGATCGAAGCCATGCACGGATGCCGCATCACCTCCTTCTTTGTTCGGACCTACCACAATGAGGTGGCCGACTGGCTCACCCGCGAGGAGGTCAAGAAGGTTCACGACACGCTGGCTACCGAAGGGTGGGAGCGCCTCGAGCCCCCTGCAGCTTGGGGCCAGATCCTGGAGGACGCCAAGAAACGCCTCCTCCGCCCCCCCGGGGAGACGGGCCCAGTGGCCGAAGCCGCCCTGCGACATCGAGCACTCCAGAGGGGGCATGGGCCGCCGAGACCCCTCCCGCTCCACGGGAAGCTGGGCAGAGAGGTGGGGAGCCTCCTCAACCCCTACGTGAAGGCCCTCAAACGCCTTGGTGGGTCAGAACCCGAGGAAAACCAGAAGGCAGACTGGCTCATGGCGTCGCTGTCCCTGGACCCCAAGGGCCGAGAGATGGAGGCGTTCCTCGTCGCAGCGACCAGCGAGAGGCCCGAAGTGGTCATCGTGGACGCCCCGAACTGTGTGGACACGGCCAGGCTCGAGAAGGCGCTCAAGCAGCTGGGCTACGTGGTCGTGAAGTTCGAGGTAATCTGCACGCGCCACACGCGGACCAGGCAGGTGCTCACAGGCGGACGTCGGAAGACGGGGGCAGGCCTGGCGAGCATTAACATGCCGCCGGCCTGCTCACGGGCTGCCGGCATCAAGCCACTTTTGGACAGGGGGAGGGACCACCTTTGGCTCGACCAGCAAGGCGAGGTGTCGTGGGACCCCCGCATCCAGTCCACCAGCGACCCCCTCCTCCTCAAGCCGGTCGGCCACCTCAAGAAGGACGGGGTGAAGCACCTGATTTACAGCGAAGAGGGGCCCGTGGGCACCATTCGCTGGCCCGGGACAGGACCCCAAGGACCAGGCGCCACGCTCCTCCGGGTCACCGGGGGAGGCAAAGGCACGGTCCGAGCCTTGACACCCCAAGAGGTTTGGCGGGTGCAGGGAGGGACCGACGACGAGTGGGCCAGCCTGCAGGCCCAGGGTTCCACGGAGGATGAGCTCCTGAAGGGCGCAGCCAGAGTCCTCCCACCGAGGACCGCAGAGGCAGTGCTGGGCGCAGTGGCGGAGGCTTTCAGCAGCACCAGCACGCAGCGCGCTGGAGTATGCCATGACCCCGAGGAGCAAGCCGCGTGGGAGGCCACCAAGCGCTGTCTTCGTGCCTGGGCGCAAGCGCCGGATCGACCCACGCTCGCGCTGGCGGCGGAGGACGAGGCAAGAGCAGGCGGCGCACTCACCGACGAGATGCACAAGATTCGCCGGCGTGCCCAGGCGATCCGCTTCCGGGAGATCGACGAGGACGCGATCATCGGACCTCGCGAGGCCCCAGCCGCAGAGGCGGTCAAGCTGGACAAGCGAGTGACCCGCTCGAAGATTCCACGCAAGAAGAGCCCCCGACGAGCCAAGGAGATGCCAGCGGCCAACCTGGTGAAGCCGCAGGCGCTGGGCATCGCGAGGAAGAGCAACAATCCCGGGAAAGAGCTCGCCCCCGCCGGCCGTGCTGAGCCAGGCGGGGCCGGCTACGCCAGCTGGTTCGCGCAGCAGAAGATGGAGGCCATGCTGCAAAAACTCAGCGAAGGCACGAGAGCGGGCTACGAGGGGGGATGGCGGCTCTGGGTAGCCGTGCGCCAGGCGCAGGGGCTTGGCCCTTGGTTCCCAGGGCGCGACCGCGAGGAGCGCCTAGCCGATGAGGAGGCGCTCATCAACTTCGCCGTCCTCCTCGCGCGGGTCGTCGGGAGGACGGAAGGGACCATCAAGCAGAAGCTCTTTGCGGTGCGCTGCGCTCACCTGGTAGCTGGCTACTCGGACCCCCTGCTCCACAGAGGTCGCCTCTGGAGCACCCTGGCGGGGCTCAAACGCTGGCAAGGGCCCGGGACCAAGCGGAAGAAGCCCGTCACCCCAGCCATGCTCGAGTGGCTCCGCGGCTTCCTCCAGCAGGAGGCCAAGCTCCCCGAGGAGGACACAGTGGTCATCTGGGCGGCGATCGTGACGGCGTTCTTCTTCCTCCTGCGGGCCTCGGAGTATCTCCTCCAGGACGGGCGCTCGTGGTCCTTCGAGCGCGTGCTGCACGGGGGGGACGTAGAGCCCAGAAAGGCCGGCAAACGCGTGCCCAGCTTCCAGGACGCCGACGAGATGGTGATCTACATCACGGGCAGCAAGACGGACCAGCTCAACGTCGGGACGGTGAGGAACCACTACCGCGCCGGCACGACGCTCTGCTCGATCGCGGCGATGGAGCGGCTCCAGGCTCACCATCCCCAGCGGATAGAGGGCACCGAAGAACGGCTGCCCATTGTCCGCTGGGCGTCAGGTACCCCAATTCGCAGGGCCGAGGTGCAGCACTTCCTGGCGGTCGCGGGGCTGGCCGCCGGGCTCTCCAGGGAGGAGATCGGCAGCCGCTCCTTGAGGGTCGGCGGAGCGACCGCGATGTACCACGTGACCGAAGGCCTCTCCCGGGCGCGCCGGTTCGGGCGCTGGCAGTCAGACGCGTTCCACGGCTACCTGTGGGAGTCGCACGAGCCGATGAAGGGCGTCTCCAGCGAGATAGCCAGGGGCACCTCCTCGCTGACCAACCCGGCGAAGGACAGCACCCCCGCCAGGGCCGCCGCCGGCGCCGAGGGCGCCAGGCGTGAGAGCCCATGACGAGGGGCCGCGGCGGGCGCCGCCGGTGCAGGTACACCTGGCGTGCGCCGAGCCCAAGCCGCCGGCCTAACTGCCGCGCGCTTGGAGGCTGCAACTCAACATCCGCGCCGCCGGCACACCAGCCGCGCGTCCGCAGGACATTCCCCGCCCGTGCTTCCAGCGCTGGCCAATGCTCTCGCGCTGTCAGGCGCGCGCGGGCTTGCCCGCTTCGGGCTCCACTAGTGCTTGGGGTACTGTGGGCGCCCTCTGCAATTGCCGAACTGGGGCCATGCTGGGCCCGCCTGGCGCGCCGGCTCCTCTCGTCGAGCCTGGTCGTGCTAGGCGCACTGCAGCCGGCGCAAGTCGCGGCAGCTGACGGCCTGACGGCCCAGCGTAGCCCGCGGCACCAGAATTCAAGCGCGGGGTACGGGCCCGCCCACCAGCGCCGGCCCAGGGAACCCCCTCTGTCAGGGGCCGGACCCTGCCCGCCCCGAACACCTAGGGGGGAGCGGGGAGCCAGGAGAACTGCGAGGCCGCAGCGCGCACGGCGGGCACCGTGGCGCCGGCATCAGCCAGGCGCCACCCGCGGCGAGTTCGGGCCATGGCCCGAGGTCGGGCTCCGCCGGCAATCAGTGCGCCAGCGTGAGCCCCGGTCTAACCTCACGGAGGACAGCCGTGCACGCCGGCATCAGCTGCCTGGCGGCGAGCGGCCAGCAGGAGGGCCAGTTGGGCCCCATGCGCGCGCCGGCGCCTGCGCCCGGCTGTGCGCAACCCAGAGGCTAGATGGTGCCGGCTGCACAGAGCCTGGCACCCAATTTTGATGGCGCCGACCGCGGCGCCCGCACAGCAATGCTGACGTGCAAGGCCCGCCAGACCAGCGTGTAGCGTCACTGGCAGCGTGCGCCAGCACCGCTAGAACAATGGCGGCGAGGCCCGCTTCGCGTGGCGGAAGGAGGGGTCCGCCTGGCGCCGAGAGCGCCGGCGGGAGCGTGCGGCCAGCGCAGCAGCAAAAAGAGTGCCGCGCAGGCATCATCATCATCATCATCATCATCATCATCATCATCATCATCATCATCATCATCATCGTCTCCTGAGGGCCCGCTTCTGACCGCTTCGCGGCTGGCACGTCCCGCGGCCTTACAGCAGGCCGCGCTTTCGCTAGCGCCGTACTGTGGGGGCGGGGTCTTAGTTGTTTGTCCTAAACGGTTGGACCCCGCC